CCCCCCCCCCCCCCCCCCAATTTGTTTTTGTTTTTGAGACAGAATCTTGGCTCTGTCACCCAGGCTGGAGTGCAGTGGCATGATCCCAGCTCACTGCAACCTCTGCCTACGTGGTTCAGGCGATTCTCCTTCCCCAGCCTCCCGAGTAGCTGGGATTACAGGTGCGCGTGACCACACCCAGCTAATTTTTGTATTTTTAGTAGAGATGGGATTTCACCATGTTGACCAGGCTGGTCTCAAACTCCTGACCTCATTTGATCCACCCTCCTCGGCCTCTCAATGTGTTGGGACTGCAGGCGTGAGCCACGGCCCCCGGCCTCTGTACTCTTTCTAAAATAAAAATTGGATTGTATTATTTCCTTGCCTTAAACATTTCAGTGATGCTTATTGCTTAAGGAAATGGATTGTAAACTGTGCTCCATGGAGAGCTCTGGGTCTCCTGGAGCCACTTCACAGACCACTCCCATTGCCCACTTACCCTGGGCAGCTGCTTTGCTAAGAGCTTTGCACACATTATCTCAGTTAATCCTCACAACAGCCTCTGAAGGAGGTGGTCTAGAGAGGAAACAGAGGCTTAGAAGGAGTAAATACTTTGTCCGTGGTCACCCAGCCTGGAAGTGGCCCATGTTGGGATTCGAGTCTAGGTCGCTCCAGGTACCTTGGTGCCTGGCCAACACGTTTCTTTTCTAGTTTACAGTCAGGGGAAAGAAATTTTATTTTGTTTTGCTTTTTCCCTTGAGGAACTGAATGTTTTCTTCTTTCTGATTTTAAAGTAAACTAACTTACTGTGTTTCTCTTTCTGCCCTCAAACTTGCTACCCAGTCAGTCCCTGCAGCCGTGTTATTCTTCATAATCAGCATGCCTGCTTCTCCTGCCTCTGATTTTCTGGTTCTACCATCTTAGCCTTCATGTCTGTGTTACCTTTTCTGGAACCTGCTTCAAATCTTTTCTGAAAGGGGAAGTCTCTGAATAAATGAGTGAGTGACTAACTCCCACCTATCTAATGAAGTGCTTTGTCTCCTGAATTTACAATAATTTCCTTGGCATTTTAAGATAACATATAGCATTTTGACGGTACAGAGAAACTCTGAATTCACTCAGTGAGATTACAGGAATCTGAAGGAACATCAAAGTCTGATAAATATCACAAGGGCAGTGGAAGGGGTCTCTACACTCCTTCTGTGGTTTAATTCTCACCACAGCTCTGTAGGCAGGTGTTTACAGATGTGGGAAGTAAGGCTTAGAGAAGGTTAGTAACTTGCTCAGGGTTACAAAGCAGCCCAAAGTGGAACCAGGAATAGAATGAAGGACAAAGTCCACAGCCAAGGCCTTTTCGGACTAGGCCTTGTGGTCTCCAAATCAAAATAACCTGAAAGGTTTCTCAAGTGGTTATAAGATGCCAAATTGTGATCTACATTTTTTTTTTTTAATTTTTTTAAGATACAGGGTCTTAACTCTGTTGCCTAGGCTGAATACAGTGGTGCTCTCACAGGACACTGCAGCCTCGAACTCCTGGACTCAAGTGATCCTCCCACTTCAGCCTCCTGAGTATCTGGGACTACAGGCACATGCCGCCACACCTGGCTAATGTTTATATTTTTGGTAGAGACTGGATCTTGCTATGTTGCTGGTCTCAAACTCCTGGGCTCAAGCGATTCTTCCGCCTCAGCCTCCCAAAGTGCTGGGATTAAGGTGTGAGCCACCTCACCCAACCAGATCCACACAGCTGATGCGTAAAATAAGCTATAGATTCTGCACCTCACTCTCCCCAAAGCTGCAACCATATAGGCAGGGGAGATAGTTAACTTCCTTTGTGTGATATTAACATGATTCTGCCATTAAAAACAAAACAAACATTTCTTCCGGAAATAAAAGCCTCTGGGTGGTCGGCTGTGAATTGATTAGAGAGGAGTTATTTCCCTGCACCTTCCCCTTTCTCCCAGAGCAGTGCCCACACAACATCGCCAAAGTGTTCCTACCTTTCTCACAGTAGGGCTCCCCATCTTCCATGTGGAAGAGGCTGTTCCCGAAAGGCTTCTTGCAGGCCGCACAGACAAAGCAGGTTGTGTGCCACGTCTGTCTCAAGGCATGCATCACTTCCTGGGGGAAAGAGCCTGAGCTCAGGACAGAAAGGAGAGAGGGAACTGGGCTTGACTACCCCACCAGGCCCCAGCCACTGCCCAAGCATCGTACCAGGGAATGGGTCAGGAGAGCCCAGGATGCTGGCCTTTCACTCTGAAGAAAGACCCAGGGGCAGCAGAGAAGGGCTTCTCACTCTCCAGCTGGGTGCCAGGTTCTGTGCATTCTTACATAAACTGTGATGCTTAATCCTCACATTAAATCTGGGAGGAAGTACTGCTTATTACTGTCATTTGCCAAAGGGGCATTGAGGGTCAAGGCCACATTCTGGTGAGTGGTCAGGTCAGGCTATGAAGCAATCACTTGCTTTGCAGAAGTTCCACCTCTTCGAGCTGTGTGGAACAGGCGCACAATCATCCCTTGCGTCAAGTTCATTTATCTCCAAGTTTATTGGTGGCAAACCAATTCCCTTCTAGGATAAAAATGGAGTTGCTTTCTCTCTGTTACCGGCAACTTCTTGGCTTCCTAATGGGACCCCACGATCTTGGGGAAGGGCTGGGAAGAGACATGGGTCAGAAGAAGGGGAGGCTGCCCACTTACCCCCATAATTTTGGTGTTGCACTTGGCACAGACTGGGGCAAAGAACTGCTCATAACATCGCTCACAGTAAACGTTGTTCTGCTCTTCCACAAAGCACACATCTGCCAGGGAAGTCTTGCAGTAGGCACAGTTGAACTCTTCAGGGTGCCAGGAACGGCCCATGGCTACCAGAAATGGGCCCCTGGGGAAACAGAGAATGGCACCCAGTAAGGCAGCCCCTAGAACTTTGAACTAGATATTTTAAGAACCCCAACACTGTTTATACTTTTACCCAATAACTCTGACTTTTGTGACTGTTCTGATGAAATAATGTGAAATTCAGAGAAAGCTCGTGCAGAAAGGTGTTCATTGTTGCATCACTTACGATAAGGAAAACCAAGAAGCAATTCAAACATCCACCAGCAGGGAACTGGGTAAACATATGATAGAGCTCAGTTGACCACTGATGATGATAGTAAGAAATCCAATAATGATGATGCTGATGGCTAACATTTATTAAGTGATTACTCTGTGTCAGGCTCCATTCAATAAAACTTTTACATTTATTAACTTGCTTAATTCTCACAACAATCCTATGCAGTAGGTACTATTATAATACCTATTTTCAGATGGGGAAACTGAGGCACACAGCGTTTGAACAACTTGTTTAAGGCCATCCGGCCAGTAAGTGGTAGACCAGAATACAAACCTGTATAGTCTAGTTCCAGGTTAGCAGTCAGAACAGTGGGACTATGAGAACATTTTTTTGTATTCTAATTTTTACTTTTCTGTGTTTTCTAATTCTTCTCTAATGAGTATATATTATTATTTTTTAAACGAAAGTATATTTTTCATGTATATAAGCTCACACCATACATGTACACAAACATACTATATTCAAACAACAGCCTTGGTCCATGGCTTCTAAGTGTGAAATCACTTGTTTTCATTTCAGTCTGGCAGATGCTCACCAATGCCCTGAGCAGCCCAGGCCTGTCTGTGGAAAGACCCAGAAACAACCCTAAAGGAAAACTGGGTCAAAGCCAGCACTGTCTTACAACATGCCCCATAAACCTACTGGCAAGACTGGTGATTCCCAGAACTCGGCCTTAGCCCAAGGGGGAGCTCCTGGCACCAGGCACCCTGCTGGAGCTTCACCCATGAACCTCATGCCATCCTCCCAGCTCCCCAGAGGAGTGGGTGTCACACAGGTATGGAAGCTATGGCTTAGAGAGGTCAGACCAGAGGGCAAGCCAGAAGGACCCATGGCTTTCTCCCTATACCTGCCTCCTACCCCCATCTCTCCCCACCAGGGATCAGACTGTGGGCAAGCAACCCGCACACACGCCCTTCCAGTGCCCCAGTGCAGGGGCACAGCTGGACCGTACCGGATGACGTTGTTGCAGTGGCCACAGAGTGGAGTCCGGCTGCTGGCTGGGAAGCGCTCAGCCCTCTGGACGGTCCCCCTGGCAAGTGGTGGCACCTGGGGACCTGCTGGGGTGTAGGCTGGGCCCCCCCCGGACCAGGGTCTGCTTGCTGATGGAGGTGGTGCTCTTGCCAGGGGCAAACTTCTGGGAGAAGCTGTCATCTGCCACCCAGGGGGGACGGCTGGCAGGCTCTGCAGGGCCCCCGCTGTAGGCCGCAGAGGATGCAGGGTTATAGTTGGGGGCAGGCGAAGGGGTATAGGTTGGTGCAGGAGATGGAGTATAGGTGGGGGCAGGTGAGGGGATATAGGCAGGGGTAGGTGAGGGAGTGTAGGTAGGGGCAGGCGAGGGGGTGTAGGCAGGGGCAGGTGAGGGGGTGTAGGGAGTTGGACTGTAATTGGCCCCTGGGGACGGGCTGTAGGTAGATGCAGGCACTGCAAGCCAAACAAACCCAAAGAAAGACATGTCAGGAATTCATTCTTCCCAGTTCCCCTCACTCCCAGCCAGAGAAATGTACAAGGTGACTTTAACACTAGAGTAGTGCGATTTCAGTTTTTTCAGGAGATTTGTTCCTGAACTTCTTGATGGCCCAGATCTGAATTCTCAGCAGGGTGCCAGGGAGCTAGAGAGCAAGCACAGCCGAGGGAGCATCAAAAGGGCTGGAAAAGGGACACAGCTATAAATATCTGCAGCTGTGCAGGGTGGGGCTCCACTAGGCCTTGGCTGCCCAAGGCCTGCATAAGACAGGGAGTGGGGTTGGGGGTACCTGGGCAGGGATAGGTGGGAGTGGGTCAGCTCACTCTTGACTGCGAGAAACTTTCTGTTGCACTCTGACCAGTGATTTGACATCTGAAATACCTCCCTTGGCATGAGTTTGCTGAACCTGGACCTAGTTCAGCCCTCAGGACAAAGCAGATGACCTGGCAGCTGGGTTTTCAGGTTCAGGTTTCAGGTTTAGCTACAATTACTTTCTTGAAAAACAGCTTGGATTGATTTGTATTGGGGGGAAATTCCATCTTGGTTTGATTAGGATGGGGGATCTTGAAGAAGGCATTTCGAGGGTGCTGGGCAGAGACTCTAGGGTGACACAGCCCAGGTGCAGCTGCTTGCTTGGCCCGTGGCTGCCCTGGGCACCTCTGGACCTCCATGTCGCTTTGGTAGAAGCTGAGAGTGTGTCTGAGTGACTGTCTAGAGATTGTGCAGGCAGTCAGAGTGCAGAAGAGAAGGCGCTGCCTCATTTCTGCCACCCCCTCCTCCAGCTCCCCTTTTTTGGGTCACAGCACAGAAAAAGCATTGCAACTGCTTACCCACAGCCCTCTCGGGCCTGGGCCCTCAACAATTAGCCAGGGCAGACCCAGCTGTGCCCTGTACACAAGGTCTAGCTGGCCTCCCCTTCCAGCAAGGGAGGTTCCAGAAGCCTCACCTCATTTCACAGTCTGCCCTTCCAGAAAGAGGCCTCATTCCCCCCACCCTAGGAAGCATGTCAGCGCAGCCTCCCTCCCCGTTCCTGAGCTCAGCCTGGGCAGGATGGACTGTGCTGAGGCAGTTCCCACACCCATGCCCCGCTCCTGCCCCGACCCCACACTCCAGCCTCAACCTAAAGAGGAAGGGTTTCCTTAGGGCTTAAGACCCTGGCCCCACCTCCAGTCTCTCTTTTCCACCTGGATCCCCTGGGCCACCCAGAGCAGCCTGTGGTTCCTACTCTGCACCTTCCACTCCCAGGTGACCCACCCTTCAGAACTGGGTGACCTGGAAACCCCTGTGCTGGGGGTGAGTAGGAACTGCGTAGATAGGATTCATCCATGTTATTGAAGGAAGAAGAGATAAAGCCCTCCACAGCCCTGCCCTGGAGCCATCCTGTGAGTGAGGCCTTTGAAAGGTAATACCTTCTCCATAACGAATCTTCCTCATGTTTAGGGGGTAATGAGGCACATAGCATGCCATCTGAATCAGTCTTCCCATTATTTCCCCTTTACATTTGAGGTCACTGAGGCTCAGACGGAGCTAATCAGTGGGAATATGTCTTCAAAACCATATATTCTACCATCCCAAGCTGCCTCTGTAAGGAACGTGAGTCCAATTTCCAGAAAGTCTCGGTGCAACATGTCAGGGAGGAGTCATTTTCAACTCGGAGACCCTGTGCTGTGGGGTCTTGATAGCATAGCCGAGAGCCCTGGCTGCAGGACCCAGCTCTACTACCTCCTGGTTGTGTGTCCTTGGGCAAATTCCTTAACCTCTCTGGGCCTCAATTTCTTTATCTAAAAATGACAATAATAATTCTTAGTATCTCACGAGGTTATTATGAGGATTAAGGGAAGGTAAGAAATATAAAGAACTTAGCCTAGTACCTGGCATAGTGTGTCACTAAATGTGAGTGAGGACGGAGGCAACCTGGTCTCAGGGTCAGATGTATTGTTGTTAGCCTGCCTCCCGGCCTGCTGCTCACCTAGGGAAGCCCGCCCAGTTAGACTGGGGTGTGTGTGTGTGGGGGGGAAGCATCGGGTGTGGGGAGAGCAGGGAAGGGAAACGGTAAATCTTGAAGTCAGATAACCTGAGACTGAGGTCTATTCACTGGTGGCGGAATGCCTGACGCCCTGCCTGCCCCACAGGGCATGGTGGGCATCTGCTGCAGTGACATACTGCATGCATTTGGTAAATGTGTACAGCTCAGATTGGAGGTATTGTCACCCTCCCTAACAACTTTGCATAGCAGAGAATCTCAAAGTGCTGGGGGAAGAGGGGATTCCAGGAATACCACGAGGGACAGAGAGCGGGAGAGGTGATCTAGCACAACTTCAGAGCAGCTTCATCCCTCTATTATAGATAAGCTCTTGCTGTCCAGCCTGGAGTGCAATGGCACGATCTTGGCTCACTGCAACCTCCACCTCCTGGGTTCAAGTGATTCTCCTGCCTCAGCCTCCCAAGTAGCTGGGATTACAGGCATCCACCACCACACCAGGCTAATTTTTTGTATTTTTAGTAGAGATGGGATTTCACCATGTTGGTCAGGCTAGTCTTGAATTCCTGACCTCAGATGATCCACCTGCCGCGGCCTCCCAAAGTGCTGGGATTACAGGAGTGAGTCACCTTGCCTGGCCCTTTCCTTTCTTTGTAAAGCGCAAGTCTCTGCTAAAATAGATTAAGATTAGCTGGGCGCCATGGCTCACACCTATAATCCCAGCACTTTGGGAGGCCAAGGAGGGGGTGGATCACCTGAGGTCAAGAGTTCGAGACCAGGCCGGTCAAGATGGTGAAACCCAGTATCCATTGAAAATACAGAAAAACTTAGCCAGCGTAGTGGCGGGTGCCTGTAATCCCAGCTACTCGGGAGGCTGAGGCAGGAGAATCGCTTGAAACTGGGAGGCAGAGGTTGCAGTAAGCCAAGGTCAAGCCGTTGCACTCTAGCCTGGGCAACAAGGGTGGAAACTCTGTCTCAAAAAAAAAAAAAAAAAAAAAAGTTTAAGACCACAACCCCTAATCCTGCGCTGTCCAATACATAGTGCTGCGTGGCCAATCAGCACTTTAAATGGCTAGTCCACCTGAGAAGTGAGAAGTGCTTTTAGTGTAACACACACACCAGATTTTTGAAGACTCATTAATCATTATTTTATATTGATTGTATGTTGAAATGATCTTTTATTTTTTATTTATTTATTTTTTTTGAGACAGAGTCTTGCTTTGTGGCCCAAGCTGGAGTACAGTGGCACACAGCAGCCTCTGCCTCCTGGGTTCAAGTGATTCTCCTGCCAGCTTCCCAAGTAGCTGGAATTACAGGCACCCGCCACCACACCTGGCTAATTTTTGTATTTTTAGTAGAGACAGGTTTCACCTGGTTAGCAAGGCCGATCTACAACTCCTGACCTCAGGTGATCTGCCGGCTATGGCCTTCCAAAGTGCTGGGATTACAAGTGTGAGCCGCCATACTCCACCTGATATTTTAAATATATGTAGTCAAAGGAAAGATATTAAAATAAATTTCACTTGCTTTCTTTTACTTTTTAAAAATGTGGCTGCTAGAAAATTTCTTTCTTTTGGGTGGTGCTGCCCTCATTAAAATGATAGCTTTCGCATGCTAGGCCCTTAACGAGCATTATTTCAAGTAATTACTTGCTGCAATCCAAGGAGGCAGATAATATTTGCAAGTCCATTTTACAGATGAGGAATTGAGGCTTGGAGAGCTTAAGTGACTGCCTCCAGGTCATTCAGCTGGTGAACTGCCTAGCTGAAACGAGCTGAGGCAGCCAGACTCAACAGCAGATCCCCGCTTAGAAAATCCCCAGGCAGCACAACAGGCTTTAGTTCACCCCTTTCAAGTAAATCGGGCCTTGTCCCACCTTTCCTGCCTCTTTCTGGCAATACTAATCCTATATCCTCTGGCTAGCAGTCACTTTCCTCCATCGGAAGGCCTTCCAGACTCCTGGATCCACTGCCCTTTTTTTTGTTTGTTTTCTTGAGACGGAGTCTCGCTCTGTCGCCAGGCGGGAGTACAGTGGCGCGATCTCCGCTCACGGCAATCTCCGTCTCCCGGGTTTAAGCAATTCTCTTGCCTCTGCCTCCCGAGTAGCTGGGACTACAGGCGCGTGCCACCACGCCCAGCTAATTTTTGTATTTTTATTAGAGACGGGGTTTCACCGTGTTGGCCAGGATGGTCTCGATCTCTTGACCTCGTGATCCGCCCGCCTCGGCCTGCCAAAGTGCTGGGATTACAGGCGTGAGCCAACGCGCCTGGTCCCCACAACACAGAGATCTCACAGAGGAGGCCAGAATCTGGACCCCGATTTGATGGCTTCCTTGCCCGGGGCTGTACCACCCAGAGAAGGAACCTCCCCGGCTTCGGTGGCCCGGCCCGGCAGCTCTGCTGCCCCGGGTCGCAACCCTCACTCCCGGCGGGGGGCGAGCAGGCAGCTGCCCTTCGCCGCCCTCGGCCTCTGCACCCTTCAGCCTGGCTCACCGTCCTGCCAAGAGAGACCTGATATCCCATCTCGGAGCCCCGGGGCTGTTGCTATTTCTGCGTGACGGAATTAAACCAGCCTAAATTAGAAGGTGATATTTCATCTCTAATTGGCAAGTTCAAAAGGCCTCTATCGCACTCGGCGGGCTCGGGGATGTGTAATTAAACAAGGTGATTTCTGACTCACTGGGGGCCGGGACTGGCTCTCCGCGAGCGCCCGGCCGCCGCCCGGCCCGCGGGCCAACGTGGCCGTCCGCGACGAGTGCGCAGGGTCCCCGAGCCGTCGCCGCCGCCGTCCGCCCCCTCCCGGGCCCCAGGTGTTCTGGGGAGCGGCCGCCTAGCTCGGGCGCCAGCGATAAGATCCGGCCTGCGAACGCCGCCCTCAGCCTGGAGGAGGCCCCGGGGAGAGCTGCGGCTGCGGCCGCGGCGGTCTGGGGCCCTCCGGGTCCTGCGGGGGCTGCCCACCCTCCCCGACGCCCGGGTCTGAAGAGCCTGGAGGGCTGGGGAGCGGAAGGGGGGGCTCGGGCCCACACGCCCTGCTTCGCCCGGGGCCGCCTGCCAGCCGCCCCCGGAACCCACTCGGCAGCCGGGCCTCCGGGAGACTGAGGTGAAGGCAGGCCGGCTACAGCGCGCGCCCGCCCGGCCGCCTCCTTCCCCCCAGGCAGGAATGAGTTAACGTCTGCGCGGCCTGGGAATGGCGCGGGGGGCCCGCGGCTCCGGCCGGTCTCGCCCGCCTGGGCCCCAGCCCGGGGAGGAGGAGGAAGGGGACGCTGGGCGGGCCGGCCGCGCGCCCCCGGAGCCCTGACGCCGCCTGGCGGGCTGGGCGAGGACAGCCGGCGGCCGCCCCGGAAGGTGCCAACAGCGCCTGCCCAGGAAGAGAAGGAAATGTCCTCCTGGCGCCCGGGCAAGGCCTCGCCTACCCCCGCCGCTTCGCCTCCAAACTCCTCCCCCGTCTCCCTCCCCGGGTTCCCAGTCTCCGAAGGGGCAGCCGCCTCCCGCCGCTTTTCACCGCTGCAGAACGCCCCCTGGCCCTGAGGAGTTTCCGCCTCAGAACCGGCTGCCCTTGCCCCTTCTCTGTAGGGACAGGGGCACCTCCCGTGCGACAGACGCTGTGCTGGGAGCTTCATTCCATCCCCAGAACACAAGGTGTCTATGAACATCGCAGCCTGGAGGGATGAGGCGCTTGGCCGTCCACAGCAGAGCAGGCCCCGACACCGGCCTCTGTCTCGGGCAAAAGCGGCTTCGGCCGCCCATGCTCAGCCCCTCTGTCAAGAGGGAGCTTCATGAAACAGCCCCCGAAGCAAGGCCCGCCCCGACTCAGTGCCTATCTCATCTCCCTGGGCTCCAGCCGCTGGGAAAACTTCCCTGGGGTCTCTCGCTGCGCCTGGAAAGGACCCGCTCCCTAGTCGAGGCTCCGTATGTGCTGTTCTGTACCCCCACAGCTGTGGCCAGCTCTCGAACACTGGCATGACACAAAGAAGACTTTTTTTTTTTTTTAAGACCGAGTCTCACTTTGTCGCCCAGGCTGGAGTTCAGTGGCCTCATCCTCTGGAGTAGCTGGGATTACAGGTGTGTGCCACCACGTCCAGCTAATTTTTGTGTTTTTTAGCAGAGATGGGGTTTTGCCATGTTGGCCAGGCTGGTCTAGAACTGCCGACCTCAGGTAATCTGCCTGCCTCGGCCTCCCAGAGTGCTGGGATTCCAGGCATGAGTCACCACGCCTGGCCCAGAGAAGACCTCTGTCCTCCTTTGCTCTCCCTTAGAATCATCCACTGCATTCTTGCCCACCTGTCTCCCCCAGGCCAGATGCAGTTTCCACAAGATTCTGGCCCACAACTGGGGGATGGAGGATGGAGCCTCATTAGCAAGGCCTTGCTGCCCATTCTTCTGGGGATGTGACCACAGAGCCACCTCTTGGCTCTTGCGACTCCTGGAGCCCGCCCAAGGCTTAGACAGCCTCCCCTCCTGCTCTGCCTCTCACCTGGCTGGTAGACAGAAGGCCGAATGCTGGCAGTGGTGACAACCCGGGGCTTGGTCGGAGGGGCGGCAGGGCCCTCACTGTAGCTGGTGTGGGTGGCAGGTGCTGAAGAGGTGGCCACTGTGGCTCTGTAGGAAGAGGTCTGGGGCCTGGAACCAAGGGAGGAAGAGTTACAGCAAGAAAGACAGCCCCCACTGGGGCCTGCAGGAGAGACAGGCTGGCTCCTGGGTCTTCAGAAGCCCCTGTGAGGACACTTGACAGAGACATCCCTGGGGAGCTGCCAGAAACTGTGGAGGAAGGACCACAAGGGTCTTGGAGGGGAGGAGGGCGTTCCTTGGGTAGCTAGCAACACCGCCTTTGGAGAGAGGGAGGAAGCCACCAGCCAGACAGGAGGATACTGGGAAGATCCTTCACTCCTGGAGACTGCCCGGGCAGGACTGTGGAAGAGCACAGAGGAGAGGAGATGGTCCTGGTCAGAACTACCTACCCCCTCAACCTCGTGGGGCACCTCAGCCCCTAACTTCGTGGCCTCTTCTGCCTACCCTTTTCTGTTGTTGCTGAAAGGAACAGCAAAGTCTCAGGTTTCCTGGCACAGATGCTTGGGGGAAGTCAGGAGCTCTCCACCTCCCACAAGGCCACTCCCCACAACCAATACACACACCTCTTCTGCACAGAATTCCTGTCGCCTTCCTCCAACTGGGTTAGTTGTCAAGGGGCCTAGGGTCAGCTTTCCCTGCCTGTGGCCCAGGGACAATGGGGTCAAAGAGATGAAAAAAAAAGTGTCCTAGTTCATTACCCTCAGGAGAGTCTGTGCATGGCCTCTCCTCCCAGAGAGCTGAAGGTGCTGAGAACTCCTGATCCAGCAGCCTGTTAAGCCTTGTCTGATCCAGTGTTCCCAAACTGTATTTGTTCGTAAAACCTTTTTCTTCATTTAAAACTAATGAACGCCTTGCAGAACACGTCCCTGGTCTTTCAGATCTCAAAGGGGATCACATGCCCACATCCAGGGACAATGGGTCATTCTGGAGGTGCTGGAGAAGTGAGCCCTGCCTGCCAGCCCTCCATGGTTTCCTGCCTTCCTTCTGTCTGTTCCTCAAGGGCCTGGGGCCTGCTGATCTCTGCTGGGCAGAGCTGTAGGATGAGGAGTGCCTTCCTTTCTGGGGCTCTGAGAAGGGGGTGGTCCTGGGATAAGAACCAAACTTCTGAGTGGATCCAGAGAGGTCCGATGGGCTGTTCCAGACAAGGCAGAGGTAAAATAACCTCAGGGGGCCTTCGGCATCCCAGACCTGGGGACTGTGCCCACTTGCCCTGTCAAGCTGCTGAGTTTCTGGCTGAGTGAAGCCATTGTCTCCCCTCCCCAGGCCCACCTGCCCTTCTCTGGATAGATTCCTGTGCTGACACCAGCAGAGTAGGGGTCTTCATGGAAGAGGAAGAGATAGTGTCCAAGGGGTGCGGGGCTTCCATGGTGATTGGGGATGGGCCAAGGGGCAGTGGTCTTAGCTGGACTCCATCAGTGGAGGACACTTTGCTCGCAGCCCAGGTCCTGAGTAGCAACTGGCAATGGGAAAGGCAGCAGTGTGCAGTGAAAATTTATGGCATCCAGTGAAAATTCTGAAGTCATGCCCCCATTAAAGGCTGCAGTATCCATTTGCCTCCCATGGACTCCCTCAGCTCCAGCTCCACCCGGCCCATGTGCGAGGAGGGGAGGTTGCTTTGCTCAGAGTGCAACCCTGTGACCCCCTTCTGCTCCAGCCCCACTCCCTGCTGGGCAGCCCTCTGAGCCCCTGTCCAAGCTCCACCCAGGCCCCAGCTCTCCTGCAAGGCAAATGGAAGGGAGGGAGGATCACAGGAGCTTTGTGGTGAGCAGGCCCGGGACAGCGAGACCTGAGCTTGGTGCTGGTGCCTGCCTTTGAGCAGGGTTGGGGCCCCAGAGATGGCTGCCTGTAGGGCTCCAGCTTCTATAGCCCCCCACCATTCAAACTGGGAGGCTTCTTCCCGCTCAACAACAGGGACATTTCTTGCCCTCCTCAAAGTCTCTTCTTTTATGCAAGTAGCAAGGTCATTATGTAAAGAGATTCTGGTATAGAGAAGGGAAGTAGTGTCCTAAATCCCCCCACGAAACTGGGATGAAGCCACCCCTGGAAACCCAGGGCTAGGCTCCTCCTTCAGGCTTGAATTGGGCTGGGGAAAGGCTGGGCTTGGCACCATGTGGGTCACTTGAAGCCTGGGATGGGGGCAGCAGACAGGCCTTTGAGCCAGTTTGCCCACATCAGTCCCACCTTAGGCTGCACCGTGGACCTACCCATCCTGATCCAAGAGGCATGTCCTCCCCAACAAGGTGGGAGGCTGGGACACCTGGGCTCTGACCCCAAACACTAACTGGCCGACCCTTGGAAGCCCAGACAGAGAGCTGGCTCCATGCAGCCTGATGGGCCACATGCCACTACAGAGTGACCTGCCAGCCTGGCCCCTCTGCCTCTTCTTTTCTCTCCTGGCCTTTGGTCTCTGCCTTGCTGGGTGTCTAGGTGGGCAGGTTGGGATGCAGGAACTCACAATACTTGTTCCTTTGTGTTAGGTGTTTTACAGACATTTTTTTCTATCATAACCCTATAGAATAGGTGTTTGGTAAACATCTTAACAGACGAGGAGACTGAGGTTCGGAGAGCTTCAGTTACTTTTTCAAGGTTACACACATTAAGCTGTGGAGCAGACGTAAATCCCACTATACCAGGTGTCTCTGGTGTTAACATGCTTTTCCAAAGAGAGGGGAGGGTAAGTGGGAAGTTTATGACTAAACTCTCTCTGACCAAATCCTACCTGCCTTCCGTGCCCAGTTCAACGCTCCCTCATCCATGGAGCCCTCCTTGATTTCTCCAGCCCACAAGGACAACTTTTATTCTACCTAAGTTGAGTTCCAGGAACAAAGACTTTCCACACAGTCCCCTTTTGTTATCTGTGTGTATATGAGTGTGTGTATTTGTGTGTTTGTGTGTGTGTGTGTGTGTGTGAGAGAGAGAGAGAGAGAAAGAGAGAGACTGTTACCTCTCTTACTGTTGTATGTGCCCCTGGGGAGCAGACTGACAGTCCCTGCCACAGTGGTACACAGCCCTGAAATTCACCCTCAGCTTCCCCTTTACACTCTTCACCAAACAGCGCTGGCCTTGGCTTCCTCCAGGCCCATGGGCCCTAACTACCTTGGACATAGCTGGCCACAGGTGAACCCAGAGTGGGGTGTCTCCTGCCTCCCTTCCCCAGGGTCAGGCCCGGCACCTGTGGGCCAGTTACCTTGGACTGTCGGCGGGGCTTGAGGCAGGGGCTGTGGCAGAGGCGGAGGCGATGGCAGTATGGGCAGCAGCTGTGGCCAGGGGTGGCGAAGCCGCACTGGGAGAGGCAGCAGCAGGCAGCTGGGCGGAAGCGGGCAGCAGTGGGGTGGCGGCCTGGCTGGTGCACACCGGCGCATGCTCAATAGGGGTGCTGATGGGGCGGGACCAAAAAGACAACAGGTCAAGGGAGCCTGGAGACCCTGTGGGTCCCGTCTGCATGGGGGCAGGTGGCTGCAGCAGAGGCAGGCTGGGCAGAAAATGCCACCTGCCTTGCACACAGAGCAGGATCCTCAGAGAGTGTGTCTTCCAGTTCAGGGAAGGAGCTTCTCCAGGATCCCAGGAGCAGAGGCTCAGACCACAGGAGTGTCCCAGTAACATCAAAAACTTTTTCAGTCCTGAAGGAATTTTCCACCCCTACCCCTCAATTTTTTCTGTACTCCCTAATTTTTCTTTCTCAGCAAAACACGGTGTGGTAGAAAAGCCGATGGAATTATCCACCCAGGTTCCTCCCTGATCCTGTTTTCATTCTTCCCCATTCAGGCAGGGGCATATGCTACCTTGAGAAAGGATGATGCAGCAAAAAAAAGCAGCGGGAAGATATTTGAGTGCCAAGGGCTTAGGCTCTGGAGTTGTGAGAACCCGGGCTTTGGGCTCTGAAGGACTCAGGGCACCAATAATCCACATGACTAAAAGCTACCATGCCAGGCAGAGCAAGGTTACCTGGACGCGAGTGGGCAATGTGACATGGGGATTCAGGAATAGAAGCCCCTGTGCCCCTTTTCAAGGTCAACCCTGGGGAAGTGGCAGGACCCCAGGGTTCCCCATGCCCATGTAGAGGGGCCAGGAAGACCTGAAATAGCCCAAAGATCTCCATGCCTCTGTGTGGCCCGGGTGCCATAGAGGATTTGTCATGCACCCAAGAGTGACTAGAACATGGTCCTGAGCACCTGCAGATCTGAAAGACCTTGTAACTGAGAAAGAGAAAGGTGATTACTCTGCCAGTGTGGACCAAATGGGATGGGCTGTCCCCCCAGATGCCAGTGCAGGCAGAATCTGACAGAGGACCAGGGTGTGCCCACACGCCTCCAACCTGAGTGCCTTGGCATTCTGCAAGCACTTCTTCCCTAGACCCACTCTAGGAAGACAAGAGCAGTCAGAGCTGGGTTGCTACCTGTGAAATGGGGTTGGCAGAGAATAGAAATTAAATTATAGGAAAGCAAAGAAATGCACATTCTTTGCCCTTTGACTTGTATTTCTATTTGCAACAACAGCAACTGGATAAATGGAGCTCCTGCAGGTGGGAATGACTCCCCCCTGTACTATGCAGTTTGTTTATTGATCTCATGCTATGTGCCAGGCATTCATTATGATGTCTTTACTTCCTCACAGCAGCCCTCTGATAGGGTATCATGGACTGTATTTAGTAGATGAGGAAATGGTAACAAAGAGAATTCAGTTGCTCAAGGTCCTACAACTCATCAGTAAAAATAGCAGCATCTGATTGAGGGTTGTTTTGATTTGAATCCTTAACCAGTACCTCATAGAGGAAGAAATAAACCAAGTAGAATCTTTCCCCAATAAAAGGCACTATTCTTATTGGAAATAATTAGAATAACAATACTTTCCATTACTGAGTGCTTGCTACAGTATAAGAAATTACCCTATTACTCCGTTTTATCCTTTCAACCTCCCTGAGTGATCGGGACTGTGACCCTCATTTTGTAGATGAGAAATCCAAGGTCCAGAGAGATCGTGTCTCTAGTAAAAAAATCACAAAGCTGCAAAGTGGGAGAAAAGGGCTTGAGCCTTTACCACTATAACACCTCGCAAACTTCTGTGTGTGCTTGAAGCCCCTGGGGATCCTGTTAAAATGAAGTCCTAGCTGAGTGGGTCTGGGACAGGACTGACAACCTGAGTCCACATTTCCTTTTTTTTTCTTGGAGATGGAGTCCCGCTCTGTCTCTGTCGCCCAGGCTGCAGTGCAGTGGCGCAATCTCAGCTCACTGCAACCTGCGCCTCCTGGGTTCAAGAGATTCTCCTGTCTCAGCCTCCCGAGTAGCTGGAATTACAGGCATGTGCCACCATGCCCAGCTAATTTTTTTATTTTTAGTAGAGATGGGGTTTCACCATGTTGGCCATACTGATCTCAAACTCCTGACCTCAGGTGATCCGACCGCCTCGGCCTCCCAAAGTGCTGGAGTTACAGGCATGAGCCACCATGCCTGGCCGAGAGTCCACATTCTAACAGGCTTCCATGTGATGCTGATGCTGCTGGTCTGTGGGCCACACTTGGAGTAGCTGGCACTACCGGGGTCTGCTCAAGATAGGAATGCGAGCGGACCCTGAGCTGTTTGCAAAAGCATCACTGAATTGCTTTCCTCCATCTGGTGAGGTGTATGGTAAAAAGGGCATGAAATAGTGTGAGAGGATCACAGAAGAATAGAGCTGGAGAAGTGACAAGGTTGAGGGTTGACTGCCCCCATGGGAGAGAGTGCCATCCTTCTCCATAACTGTGTGGGAAACTTTCGGGATGGGCAAGAGCAGTGGCTATATCCTGCCCAGGTCTTCCCTGACTTAGTGCTCAGAAAAAGGCAGCCTTGGGTAGCCCAGCTTGCAGGCCTGCAGCCATGCCTGGCCCTGGCTCTTCCATGAGCCACTTGTGAAAGAACCTTGCTTCTGGAAGCCATGCCAGTGATGTGACGGCCCCAGTGAAGTAGCTGCAGTCTCTGAAGCCACACCACTGAGCTGGCTGCTCAGACTTTCCTCTCAGTGTGGGCAGGTATGGCCGAGGATGGCTTGGGCTGACACAGAACACTGGCCTCCTTGATCTGCTCTCCATGGCCCTATTCCACACTTCCAGTAGGCTGCTGGGAAATGAGGACACTGCACAGGACAAGGGCACTGACAGTGTCCAGGTTGGGGACAGTATTCCGCAGGACAAACAGGAGGTTGGCTTTGCCTGTGTCCTTGGCTCCAATTCACTGTTAGGCCAGCTTACCTGCTGCTCTCCCCAGCCATATCTCCTAATGAACCCTGGATTCCAGGGCATGAAGTTGGAGCTGGATGTGGGCCCTAGGAAATTCATCATTGACCACAGCACCAGAACAATGATCACCACCAGGTGTATCTGGGTGTGCACATGAGTGAGCCTGCAACTTGGGGTTCTTCCTGAGTAGCATCCTCTCTAGGACCACTATCTAAAGACTCCAAGAAGCCAGGGCCTATGGAAGGCAGAGGAGGCATCGAAGGGTATCCTGAAGGATCTTATTCCAGGTCAGTTCCTGCCTGAAGTTCCACGAGCCCCCAGAAGCATCCTAACAGGGGCATCATAGAGCAAGCACTGCAGAGAAGTTACTTGGCCCTGGCTTCATTCCTAAAGACAGTGCTGGTGAGATCACCCCAGCCTGGTCTAAGATCTACAGTTTCTTCCTGCCTTGGTGATAATTATGTTTAAACATCTAAGCGAAAACCAAATCAAACCAACTAGACCCAAATGCTCATGGCTTCATGGGGAGGATGGCGTGGCCAGGAGAAACACAGCCTGGTCATCGTCCCCTTTTCAGCTCATCTCTTCCCTCAGTCTGGTCAGCATCAAGGTGGAGCATGTTGACTGTGTGCTCCCGCTCTTCCCTGGTGGCCCTTGGTGGTGGGAATGGTGGGGTTTGATTGATACTGTTATTAATAACTATGATACTCTGTCTGGGAAGGATGGGATAGCGGTGGTGGCGATGCTGGGTCTTGGGGTCGTTGTCAGTGGACTTGGGTCAGAACTGTTGGTGATGGTGGAGGCCTTGTGAATGTATTGATCGTGCTGAAGGGGTGCCACTTTTGGGGTGATGATGCTGCTTGTGTTGGTTAAGATGGTGAAGCATGAAAATCTCTGTTGATTGGATGATAATAGAATGCCAGTCAGGTGATTGGTCTTGAAATTATTCAAGCTGCCACCCACCTAGTCTACATTCCACCTTGATGCCTGGTGACTGTGGCTCAGGGGAACCCTGAACTGCATCACTTTGCCCCAGAAATACTCCACTGCAACTCCAGGGTCCACATTGCCATTGTGGTCTAGGCGAAGAATGCCTCATCAGCTATAGTGTGAAAGGTGCCCTGGAGCCTTTGCTAGTTCCGTTTTGCCTTCAAAATACATTCAAAAATACCATGGCCTTGGAGTCTTGGTGCAGGCCACTACTAACCATGACATCCTCTGCATTCTCTCCATTCCAACCAAAATGATTAACTTGGGGTTCTGGGACACTACTTCTCATCAGCACCTCTGCTCGTTCTGCTTAGAGTATCTGTCCAGGCTTTTGTGTCTGTGTCCACCCTAATTCTAACCATTCCTGAAGATAAAAACACACTGACCTCTTCTTCCAGGAAGCCTTCTTTGATCCACCAGTTGGAGGGATGCTCCCTGTCTCTGGACCATACATGATCAACTTCTCATTGGGAACACAGCCACATCGGCCCTTTCCGATTCCTTTAGCACCCACAGCAGTCAGGCACCTCCACAAATGCCCATAGACATCAGATGCTAAATGAGGACATCTCTCCTGCTTATACCTAGGGCTTTACATGAAACCCAGCCTGGGGTCCCCCAGGGTACGACATGAAGGGATCTGGGGTAGATGGGGAGGCAGGGGTTCAACCTGGTGGTTCCAAGAGGGCTCTGGCAGGCTGGGGGCTGGGAACAGGGGTCCAAGAACCCACCAACTCTTAGTGGTTGGCTAAGGTTCTCTGCCAGCCTCAGGATACGCACTGCCCAGGACCTTACTCTGTCTGGCAGCCCCTGCCCCCAACCCACCCTTGGGCCTTGCAAGTCCTCTGAAAAACATCAGCCAAATATAGGTGTGCTCCAGGAAGCCTAGATGAAGGCAGTTATCCTTCTTTCCTCCCCTTGGGAATCCTCCAGCGGGGATGAAGCCTGCCTGGTGCAGGCATCAGACTGCTGGAGGCAGGATGAGGTGGGAGGCCAGAATAGGTTGGCAGGGGGCTTTAGGGAGCATCTCAGGGTGGATGGACAGGAGACAGTGGCCTCCCACACCAACCCTTCCTGGTGGGATTGCTAAGGTTCCTGGAGGCAGAGGGAAAGCCTATGCCCAGGCAGCAGGGATGGGCGCAGGGGTCTGGCCAGTCTAGCCACAGAGGAGGCAG